GTTCATACATATATATAATATATAATCGTAGCTCCACTTATTCCCCAAACAGATATACGATACCCATACTTAGCATTCAAATGCTAATCACCCTCAACAGATCCATTATCACTGTGCAAAGTCTCCATGAATATTCCTGCACTGTAAATGTGTTCATCATCTCTCCGAGCTGTAAAATGTCCCCGATGACCCTCCCGCCGCCGCCCTCATCCCGCGCTCACCTCCCGGGCAGCAGTAATGTGTGCAAGCACGCACATGTGAGCAGTGCGACTAATGCAGCCTGTGAGCAATGTAATACCTCACTAGGCCGTGTGCCAAATCAAGCCGGGATTATACCACATGCTCCCAACAGTCCATTACCATCCTACTAGGATCAGTCAGATCCAACCCCAGTGACTTCTATAAATATGAGTGTGTGTGTGTGTGTGTGTGTGTGTGTGTTTGTGTGCAGATCTTACTCGAATGAAAGGTTGGGAGGGTTACTTTACAAATGTAATCCGATACAATTACTGAGCCTACCTGTTAAAAAATCTGTAGTCGGTTATCCGAGTATTACAATATTAAAGTAACTTGATTACTTTCTGTTACTTTTGGGTTACCTCAACTCCAAATATGCAAATAAAAACGTGAGAAAAGTGTCAATAAAATAAAGAAAATATTAAAAATATCTATAAGAAGTAAAGAACAATGTGACCTTGGATTAGATTTGTAGCATCAAGTAATTTTTAAAGACAAATGTATGTATTTTAAAATTGTAATCCTGGTAAAAATCCCCATTTTTACTAAATGTAACTGTAATCTGATTACATATCTTATTCTGTAACTGTAATGGATTACTGTTACCTGTTTTTTTTCTATCCTGATTACGTAACTACATGTAATCCATTACTCCTCAAGCCTGAGTAAAATAAATAATACATAAAGAAATAATAATAATAATAAATGAAATAACACTTAAAATATTACTTAAGTATAAAATATTTTCAGCAAAATTGACTTAAAGTACTAAAATTAAAAGTACTGTCTAATGGCCCATTTCATAATGTTATATAAAGATTATATTAGTGGATTATTATTACTGATGTATTCATGTGTAAATGGTATTTTACAGTTACATTCAGGTGATTAAACACACATGAAAACATATAAATGAATATCTGACAATAGATCCTCCTCAATGTTACACACTGGACCTTTAAGTACAGTAGTGTAGTACATGTACTGTGTGTGTGTGTGTGTGTGTGTGTGTGTGTGTGTGTGCTGAAGCTACGAGGACTAACAAGACAACCCAGTTTTCCATCAGGTTGCAGAAATCTAGAGGGGAAAAGGTGCACTGCAAAAACAGCCCCTCTGGAAACAAGCCAAATATTCTTATATATTAAATATAATCTAATTTTCTTTAATAAAATCTTACAATAAGTCACAATTTCTTCAAACAGCAAAATATAAGTAAGTGATTTTGGAATTAAAAGCATTCTTATGTTTAGTATTTTTTATTAAAATAAAACTGAGAAGTTGTGCGAGTGGACTTACTCTTAAAATAAGAACAATAATCTGGTTCCCCTGCTGAGATATTATACAACCATTGTTGTAACTGGTTAAATCTACCTCAATATTAGCTGTAATGTCTTATTATTAAGACAATTAGCTCGCTAATCTGTATCAATCGTTAGCTAGCAAGTTACATCTGAAAGCTAATTTTAGCACAAATAAAATCTTACAATAAGACTCAATTTCTTAAAATAAAATAATAAAAATAAGTGAAATAAGGAAAATAATCGTGTTCGTGTGCGGGGATTTTATTGAAACCATTGTTATAATATATTCATATCTTATGAATTTATAAATAATTTATTTATGTTTATGTTTGTACGGAAGTGTATTGCATTCACAAAATTTGGTTTTTCTGAGTCATTTATTTTTTGGTTTTCTATTTTACGGAGTAATTTTTTCAGTTTTTCTGAGTAATCTTTTTTCTGAATTATCGAGATACTTCGAACCTCCAACCTGTATGTGACTCCCTGACTATCTACCTCTATCTAATGATAATACCATCTATGTGACTTAAAGACAGGACTATCTCCCAGTGTCTGAAACCCAGATCAAAGGAAAACTGGACTGAACTAAACAAGCCGCTCATGTTTGTTTCCGTTAAATCGAGCTCTCAATAAAGGAATGAATGCGTCTATTGTTTCAAATGCTCTCTAAACTCAGAAAATAAATTAGTCTGAAAAACAGAAATAATCACTCTGAAAAACAAACCAAATAATACATTCAGTTTTCAAGTGAATGCAATACGCTTGCATATGTTTGACATCATTATTGTTCGTTTTAGGACCAAAAAAATAAGACAAATTTCCCAGAAACAAGATTATTTTTTTATTTTCTTGTGAATCCTTTTTTTGCAGTGTGCACAGAGACAGAACGAGAGTATCTGTAGAGGATGATGAGGGGAAGTAAAGAGGAGGAGGAAGTGGAGGAAGAGGAGGGAGGGAGAGGAGGTGCACGAGAGGAACCCATGTTAGGAGGAAGCAGAGAAACAGGGACAGCGGTGGGGAGGGATTCTACGTTAGCAAGAGGAAGCATGATCCCGCTGTGAAGCCGGGCTGCTGGGGCTATATTTAGCTTCTGTTGCCATGTGCCGGGAATGTGCATGGCAGAGGGAGACACACACACACACACAATGCCGGTCATGCACTCCTGCACATGTGAGTGCAACCTCCACGACTGAGATGTGATCAAAGTTTGATTTCTTGTGATTTTCAGACACACGAGATCAGATCTCTAGTTTCTATTTAAAAGGCGTGAGGCGTTCAATGTACGCACACAAACACCGACACGTGAGTTTCACACTTAAAAACTGGAGGAAGGGGTTGAAGGTTTTTGCAGCTGCACGTGTCTATAAATTATTCTGAGGGGAATGACATTGAAAGAAAAGACTGATTCTGCTCTTAAAACCTCTTAAAGGAGGCGGATCCTCAATTCTTTGACCTCCTTCTGCCATTTATTCATTTAAAGTTAAATGCACATCAGTCTATAATCTGCTTTACGCACCCACGGTGTGGCACAGAGCTCATCGTTTCATCGCTGTGTGTGTGGTTGTAGTCGGTCAAGAAACAAGCCCAAGGTGTCGCCATGCAAACCTGCAGCGAGCCGGGCTCGGGCCAATGAGGAGACGCCGATCTCCTCTGAGACGCCTCTGATTGGCCTGAGCTTTCCTTTTTTAAGTCTGTTTCTTGTTGGAGTGTAAGGGCAAGATTGACATTTAATTTGGTGAGTGCTGGGAAATTCTGATTACAGACCGGGGGGGGGGGG